ACCAAGTGACTCATTCAGGTTTTATTTAAGGTTTCAGTTTTATTTTTTAAATGGCTGAGCTGACCTCACACATTAAACAAACCCAGCACTACAGGAGAGCTACACCAAGGCAGCATGAACAGAAACACATTATCTAGCTGATTTTAAACTGCCAACAGCCCCTGTATTACCAGGTGGGATGTGACACAAAGACATCTGCTGACAGGTGAAAATTGCACTCAGAAATCTGTAGGTGCAGAGCAACAAAGTCTTCTTTACAATCACGAGACCAAAGCCCAGTGGCTGCTGACACGATCCCAAAGCAGCACTGATCGTGAAAAGACGCCGTATCAATGCTGCGAAGCAAGAGGGAAGGAGCTGCTTGTCATCCACAGAAGCCTGTGTGAAATTGGCTTCTGCTGTTTTACATACCCGCAAAATCTGGCCTCTCTCTTCAGTTCCTTGGCACATCAAGGCCATCTCCTCCGTTCTAGTTCCCACTTTGCCTTTTCAGCTGAGTTTTGTCATTTTTTGTGAACCTCCTGGATTAGCTCCAGCTCTCCTAGCACGGCTGTGACTCAAAGCCATATTGCTGCTCCAGGCTCCACTTCCAGCACCTTTTTCTTTCCCAGGCTCCTTTCTGCTCTCCTCCTTCAGAGACATTGCTGCTTTGCGACGCAGCAGGCTGGTACGGCACTCTTCAAATTTCCTCAGCAATTGAGTAATTGAAGTTTTAACCGTTGCTTCATCCTACCCCAGCACCCCTTGGACCAGCTCCATCTTCTGTAGCTCTTCCCACCACCTCTCTCCAGACATCCATTCTGGCAGCACATTTCCACTTAGCTCCCGTCTGTATTGCAGTTTCGTTACTGTTGGCTACTCTCTGTTCGAGTTGGCAGCTGTTTCTCTAAGATCCCATCTTTGACATTGTTAGCTGTCATTAGCCACAAACGATGAGATCCTAGAGCATTAATTATCCATACGCTTGATCCAGTTGGGTTTACGACCCCAAAATAAATCTACAGTCTATTACTGTTGAAACAAGAAGCCATTAAAAAGCCTCGTTATTTTATGGTGGGAAGATGAATGGAGAATCAGACTTCACTTTTAACAATTTTAACAACAAAGATGCCATCATCTACCGTACAAATGGATTATGCCAGGTTGTAATTAGGAATGAGGTTCAACCAAATATTATTCCTGGACATTGGTCTGAACCATTTTTACTATCAGCCAGGGATGGTAGGGTTTAAGGAAGCCAGTACCTACTTACAGGCCATTGCAGTCCACTCTTACACAGTACTTTGCTGCAAACGTGCCCTACTTACACCAACCTGCGGCATTTTGAGATACAGATGGATTAAGATATAAGAGAGATCTCGGCTAAGAAGCTAGGGCCTTCTACGTGCCTCATATTTCAGACCAGGCAACGTTTTTGCCACTTTTTCAAAACCAGGCCCCTGAAAAGGGGCACCAAGTTGGAACAAAACACTGCGGCAAACTCAGCTGCTTTGCAAAACAGTGGCTTTTGTGTCCGTGTGGTGTTTACCCCCCAAGCCTCTTCTCAAGCCCTAACCAGATCGTTTAAGTCAAGTAAGTGTCTCCATGGAAACATCTTTTCTCAAGGAGCCTCCTTGCTGGAGAAAACCATGCACTCCTTTCGTTTAAAAGGGGAACGCAGTTTGGTAGGAGCATAATGCCCATCTAGAGAAGAACCTGTAATGACTCACCAGCCCAATTTACATCCTTTAAAAACATGTCCATTCCATTAAGACATTTTAGGGATGGCTAAAGATGTGCTATCGCTGCTGCAACTAAACTAGCACGTCCTGCTGCCCCCTCTGTCCCTGCCCTGGCTCTTCACTCTCGGCATCACAACCTGCCTTCAAGGCACGCGGGGTCTGCATCCCCCTCACATACACACAAACTCTTGGCCCCAGTGAACTCCAAATCAATATTTTTTTTAAAAAACCAAACCAAAACAAAAACCTAGAGCTAAAGTAACACAAATCAATGCCCATTCTTGAAATATAGGAAGTGACTTGTCGAAGCTACTAGTTCCTTCTTAAGTAAGACAATCTTCTGTGCTCTGGAAAAGAAGAGATGAGGTTTAGCCTCTCCCTCTGTCAAGTCCTTTGTAAGCTGTAGCATGTTATATTATTTTTGGCATAGGATTGCTGGAGATCCCTCAAAAAGGAAGCCAATTTTCAAAAAGGATACTCAAACAATTGAATATTTCATGTTCTAATATAGAAGAGAGACTTTAATATTAATAGGCAAATAAATAATTAAGGGCTGTGATTAAAAATGGTTGTGATTCAGACAAATCAGTCCATAGAGTATGTGAGTATGTAAAAAAAAAAAGCGAAGCCACCAGAGAAGTTGTCTTGTTGGGAGTTGCTTTCAAATTGCAGCAAAGCCAAGGTGTTCTCAGGAAAATAAGCCCCAGAGGTTAATTTTTAAGTCAGAGACTCAGTATTTAAGAGCTCTCTTTAGACAGGAAGGTGCCGTAAAGGGCTACATGAAAGCTAACACAGGTTCTGTCCCCAGGCAATGCACAGATAAAGGGAGAGTGGAGGAAAAGATGTATTTCAGAACAACAACAAAAAAATAATCCCATTCTCCTAAGCTTAAGGTACTTACAAAATTTTTAAAGATTTTCTGAGAACATAAAAACATGACATGCCTCATAACTTGAAACTAGGTCCAGGCACACTGTAGCAGTCACCTCCTCTTCTTCTGCCTCCTTTCCACCCATCATGGGTTGGTGAGAGGAAGCCTGGGACAAGATGACACAAATCCATGGTCACAGCCTTGCAGCTTCCCAGTGGAGAACGAAAGGTTTTTGGCAAATCCCCTCTCAAGCAGCCAACAGAAACCAGGCAGGACCAATTCAAAGTGGAAGTCCATGAGACAGAGGCATGTCACTAGCATAAGAAGAGGGATAAACAGTCATTTGTGTTGATTCCTTTCCATTATGCAACAGAACTCAGAAGAGTGACTTAAACACATACAAATAACCTTTTCTACCTTCTTTGAGGAAATTTAGTAGAAATCTTGGTGCAGAAAAATAAGCTCACATGTGTGCTCACAGGTAGGGTATATCTGCATTAAGGTTCTCTTCTCAATGGGATGCAGAGGATGGAGTGGGGAAGGGAGTCAAAGAGAAGTCAGAGACATTAAACACATTTATGGATCAGATTTAATCCTGTACTGTCAAAAAAAGTCATTTGCCAAATCTGTGAAACCAGAGCCATATGAGATTTTAGATGAAGGGAGATGTAGGTCCTAATTGCTTTCTTCTCACATATGCCATCTTGAGACTTCCAGGGGAAATACAAACAAACTCCTTATCAAAGGGAATTATTCAAGGGTAGGGCCTTCCATTTCACTACCTCCACCTAAGCTCCAAGCAGAGCTCATCAATAGATCATACCCCTCTCCAGGCCAGCAGCTTTACTGTTCTGCCCGAGGAATTCATCCTTGAATACAAGCGTTGCGAGGGGAAACTCTTAACATCACAAGGAGATGAAATAGATAAACACAGAGGCTGCAGATTTTGGCAACGGACTTCAGCCTTGAGACAAACAGTAACCACCATGGAGCACAAAGGATTGGAGAAGACACCACAGGAGCAAGAGATTTCACAAACTCTATCTACACCTGGTAAAACTAGCGTAAGAGCTGTCACGTATTGTGGAGCTAACAGGAAAAATATACTTGAATTAAAATCCAGGTGCAGGGAGGAAAGGGCTGAGCCAGCAGTAGGTCTCAG